GCTACTGCGGTAATGCAGTGAAAATGGTTAGAAAAGAATGGTCGTTTACTTGACGCCACACCCAAATAAGCTCCCCCTCGTCCCCCTCCTCTTCCCCTTCTCCCTCTTGTAGATAGCCTCTCGTTTAATATTCCTATTCTTCAACAAGCTTTCCTCTGTCGTTCCCATCTCTCATTAAGTGGATCATAGCGGGTTGGTCCCGACATTTTGTTTTTTTCTTTTGTTTTCTTACTCTGTTAGTCGTTTGGTACCAAAATTCTTGCAATGACAAGATCGCATACTGTCATTCTATTTTAATTCAAATTTTGGATTCCCCCAGCCCCGCCTCGGGGACACCTATTAAAAATTCTAGGATCCTAATGAGCACGCATGGTCTACATAGCCCAAATTTCCACCGTTTTACCGCGTCCGGTCTTCGAAAGAGGAGCGTGGGCCGACCAGCGTGGGCCGACCAGCGGCTGTTACTCAAAGCTATTGAATTATTGTATAGGAGTGACCTTCGATTATAAATTTTAGTTGACTGCAATGTCAACTTCGCCTGTTCCAGCACCTTCTCTACCTCTGCGGTTCATTTCCCTTCTTCCTGTAATTTTAGGTAATACCACGGTGGAACCGGAACACCTTCGGACACCGTGACGACCCTAGAGACAAAGGTGACTTCCGGGTAGCCTTTCAATTGGCGAAATGCAACATGGGTAAATAGCTTTCAAAATGGAACAAGATGACAAAGTGTTATTTAACAAGTCGGTGACCTATTTACGAATATTATTCTTCCATAGAGTCGCGATCTAGCCATAGCAGGAAAAGGTGGGTTTCTCCTGTATTATTTCTTTGCCCAAACTTGCTTATGATCTGAATTATTCGCTGTATAAACAGAAAATTAGACGTGATTTTTTTAGCGGCGATGCTGAACCATGCTGACAAGGTTTAGTAAGAAAGGCACATTGATGTTTACGATCTGTTTCAGCATGTTTTTATTTCGCACGAATGTGATTCATTTGCATCCTGAAGATTTTAAATAATTTAACACATTTTACAATTCAAATCATCAAATTTTTAATAATGCATATTTTAAAATCAAACAAATGATTTCACTTTTCGATTTTGGCGCCCTCCTCGAACAGCCGGGAACGAGCGATATCTTCGATTGGCAAAACAAAAGAGCGCGTCACTAGGAGGAGGTTATTTTAAGATCGAAGCCACAAAACGAAGGTACTTTCGAAAGGGAACCAACACTGAATTGTTATCATCGCAACTTTCGAAACGGTTAGATTTCATGCGCGACTTCATACGAACACATGCTAAGAAGTTTCGTGTGTTTCGAACCGCGCAAGACCTCTCTGTTGACAATTAACCGAATGGCAATTTGATATATGCTATAAACGCATTAAGACCGTTTTAAAAAATTGGTATTTGTGAATTTCTTTCCTTTGTTATCGACGTGTTTGCACAAAATCGCTGCTTCAATCCACATGCCTGCGAAATTTAATTTTTACTGACTTTTGGGAATAAAAAATAGTTTTCTTTGTTAAGGAATTGCGACTTCTTAGGTCTCACTTCTGACTCGCGAATGTTAAGAGGATATTTCTCAGGAAGGTTATCTCTGGGAAAGCCACAACTTGTCCTCATCGCATCCGTGTTTGTAAATTTCCAAGACCGTCGAATAAATTGTCGTCTTAATCTTGGTATTGTCTACGTTAGACAGCTAATGTGTCTACAAGTGTTTTGATCATAAAAAACCTGAAGCTAATTCCGCTGGTTTCTGAAATTTTATTGGTGCGTACATTATTTTGATGTTGTTGTGCGGAAACTCTGTTGGAATTTACAATGAATAAGATTCTGTAACTCTCGATTTCTCTACCTAAGTACTGTATACTTACCCAAGACGATTGACTTCCTGTCTTTTGTTGACCCCAATATTTTTCCAATCGTATCTCCAAAATAATGTCTTCCTATATTGCTGAAGTAACAATAAAGAGTTATCAGGTTCAAATTGATGCATTGCGTAATGCTCCATTTATGTAATCTATAGTTTTGACCCTTTCTGATTAATTTTTTTTTTCTTATAGATATTCAGTTGTCTTTGAGATTTCACAGACTTTATGGATCAGTCTCCGGAAAACAGATATCGTCTCATTGCACAACGAAGGGCCGCCCAAGTCAAGGCAATGAAACAAGAGTCGAACTTCTCACGGGCACGGAGCCAAGATGGTAAACCTGTGACATACACGAAAATGAAAGAAAAAACCAATATTATGCGAAATTCAAGAGTTATGTCTGACCCAGAAATACCTGGGACACTTGTGATATTAAATGCCAAAGGTTTGTTCAAAGGAAAGATCGGAAACAAAAGAGATCAGAGACCAGAATCTGACAGTTTCATAACATCTGTAAACATTATGGACAGAAGTGAGAATAGACCACAGTTCTTTGACCCTTCACTCAGCAATAAGTAGTCAAAAGTCCATGAGCTAAGGAAGCGGTTTGAAGTCGTAGAAAGCGATATTATGGGAGAAAAAGGAATTGGAGCTGCCAGTAATTTTTTGAATCCACTACACAAGGTCAATCAAGACTTGATGTGTGAAAACAACAGAGAGAAACAGAGAGATGCAAATACTAAACTGGAAGACATAATAACTTGCAGTGAACCAGTACTGCATGGAGCATTAAATGTGAAGGAAAGTAATTCAATGGCTGAGTTTTCTTCAAAAGGATTAGAAGACAGGGTTGAAATGCCAATGCGACCTCCTCCAAGAGCCCCCCTCCATGATCTTAAAATCCGTTCTCGAGGTGAATCAGACCCTATGCCTTTGGATGTAAACCAAATGTCTAGAGTTCTTGCTATCCAGCAGGATACCTTGCATCCTGTGATAGAATCAAAACAGGAGGACAATTCACCCAGGTCAGAAACTGAAAAACTTGAAAATGCTATTGATTATAACAAGGAAGGAGAAGATTACGATGACAATGCATCAGACGATGATGAGTGGGACAGTGATTTTGATGATGAGGATTTTGATGACAATGATGAGGAATTGAAACGTGACTCGCGATCGAGCCATGACAGTTCATGTGATACAGAGCCTCTGGTAAGTTTCTTTCCATTTGATTGAATTGTTTAGGCATATAATTTATGTAGTAGCTTCACACTCTTTGATTTTCAACCCAAAAAATCATGAATGTTACACATTTCAGATTAATTTTTTTATACAAACCTTTATGCTCCCAAGACCTGATTGTTAATGTTCTCATTCAGTTGCCACACATTTCCTTATTTGTGGCGCAAATTTGGTGTCAGATCAAAAGAACAACCACCTTGAATTGGCAAACTTAATAGTTTGAGTATTCTCATTACCTGTTTGCTTGGTAATGCATGGATATTGTTGGGAGAAGTTACTTTGTAATCACTTCTAGGTAATCAAAAGAAATGATAATGATGATTGCATGAGCACATTTCAGGCTCCCTTCCTTTTACAGAATTTTGTTTGAGGTTGGATGCTAGAAAGTGAAGGGGTCTATAGTATCAAAAAAATGTTGCATGATTCAATTTGAATTTTGTACGTACAGTTGATGAATAACATTTCATTAAAGGTGAATGATTTTACAAGCTGGAACATTACCATACTTGGTAGAAAAATTATACATGATTGGCGGGACAGCTAGGTTTCTGATATTATTTCGCAGAATTGATCATGAATGTCATCATGATTTAAACAGAAATGGAATTTTACAACTTGTGGTGTCCGCACTGTATCATACATCTTTTGGAATATGTTGTTCCTGATCAAATAATAGTTTTAAATTAATAGTATTGATAATTTTTAGATGCTAACTGAGTTTGTGGGTGATAAGTGTTTGTACCATTATTGAAATGTGTTGCTCAATATTTTGTTATCTTAATGTTGAATTGACCTCTGTTTAACTTGTTTGATTCCTAAGAACTGTGCGAAAACTTTGTTACACACAGTTATTGTCAGTGCTTTCAATAAGACCTGGCACCCGCTGGAGCTCCGGCGGCTATTCTGTTGCGAGTCGCTGGGTATATTTCACCACGCTCAAGTCACAGTCGCCACGCTAAGTCG